GTGAGTACCAGCAACTACTGCAACGCAGCAGACCCAGCCGCCACTGGCACAGGCTACAACTGAGTCCCGTCGTAACCCACCAAGAACGCGAGTTCTGCCAGCTCGCCTGAGAGATTGAAACATTCTCCTCGCTGCTCTGATAGCCTGTTGCTCACGTCGTTAATGAATTATTGTGCTCTCAGCTGATCCACTTACTTTCTCTTGTTTATTATATTTATATACGCGTTGGCAACCCTAGTGTGCATGTAGGGGAGGAAATGTAGTGTATGTGCTGAGGATGCACTCATGTATATCTCTAACGTCATCGTTATCGCATTGACGTCACACCATGTGCAGATCATTTTCATGTCTGCCTTTTTGTATTGACGCATGTGTCTCCTTGTTCTTGTTCCGTTGAAACACTTACTTGAAAATTGTAGTTGCTGTTCTTCTAGTCTCCGTGCAATCGATAATAGAATAACTGAACCCCGTCTGTAGCTGAGACACTGCACTGTAGTTGCCCACCACTGACAGTTATAAGCAAGCTACTGGTGAGTCACAGCGTGCAACAGTTAGCACAACACTGACTGTTGTGGCGCTGACATACAACGACCTGACGTTTAGCTCCGTTACGTCTCGGATGTGCACGCCTGCAGCCTTCCAACTTGGAAGGTTCTTAGTTATGAAATAACGTGAGAAATGGGAAGTTGAGCATACTCATGATGAAAACAAGCTAAATATCATAGAAAGCTAAGAATGTTAGCTTTGACAAGACGATGACGAAAGACGAAGCACCACGGCACAGGACGACCACGGCTCACTTCGAGAACGCGAAGCAACAACCACCCAACTTGGGAACCAGAGTTCATTCTGCGCATCTGATGAGCTGCCAATACGTTGTGTGACACTACTTGTTATTTCCGGTTGTAAGTCCACCACAACTTCCATTCTACATGTAGTAGAGAGAGTGCCGTTTGGTCTGTCTCCCTTCGTGTTCTCGTTATTTTCCCTCTTTTGCTCATCTTCGATGAGCTTGAGCCTCCCAAGTTGGGTGGTTGTTGTTTCGTGTTCTCGAGGTGAGCTGTGACCGTCCTGTGCCGTGGTCCTTCGTCTTTCGACATCATCTTGTCAAAGCTAGCATTCTTAGTTTTTTTCAGTGATACTTAGCTTCTTTTCGTCTTGAGTATGCTCCCATTCCCATTTCTCACGTCATTCCATAACTAAGAACCTTCCAAGTTGGAAGGCTGCAGGCGTGCACATCCGAGACGTAACGGAGCTAAACGTCAGGTCGTTGTATGTCAGCGCCACAACAGTCAGTGTTGTGCTAACTGTTGCACGCTGTGACTCACCAGTAGCTTGCTTATAACTGTCAGTGTGCTGGGCAACTATGGATAACATTTCAACCTTTGGTCCTTTCTTCTTGATTACTTTTTCGGGCTCGCACTTCATAAAGAGGAACAAAGTACCAGTTGGCTTGGAAAAAATGAAAGAAAGAATTTCAATTTTAAATGCAAAGCCTCTCTGCAACATTTTCAGATTTAATGTCTGTAACAACCAAACATCACCTGACATGGCCAAATTTCCGATTTTGCGCACCGCGAATAGCAAGGTCCCTGGTTCGAGTCCCGGTGGTGTGACTGATGATTTTTTCTTTCTTTCATAATTGGCTTTCAAGTGTTGAGTTTAGGAGAGAAAAGAGCAGTACGTGGTATGTGGCCTCTAATTTTCTAACACTTTGAAATTCTCCGTGAAGTCCAAATTTGAAATTGCAATTTGTATTTGCTTGCAGTGGGCATAGTTTGATGCGCTCCCCATGACACTAAAAATCACTTGGGGGAAATAGCAGCCCTCCGTTCTTTAGATTTTGACCAAAATAAAAAAAATCGATAGAAACACTTTCGACTTGCGCCTTGCTGAGTCCCTCGAACGAATCGATCGATTCAGCCTGTCCAATGCCGACCATCACGAAGGCCATCTTCAAGGGCCAGTAGCAGTGAGGCTACGTCCTGAAATTGGGGGTAGACCACCACCATAGTCTGCTACAACATGTCCCCAAGCACCAACAAGTGGTCTTAAATAAGGTTATCCACTAAAAATCACTTGGGGGAAATATTCACATTTCGAACTCTCCAACGGCCATGCAACAGCCGAATCCAACCTCGTGGCAAGAAAGCACACACGGAGCACCTCCCTATACCTTGTTGCTATGCGACCAGCACTGAGACATCAAAGGAATAATCCCTGCCTTCGCAGAAACTCGAATGAAGCCGCCACGAAGCTTCACTAGCTGAACAAAAGCCCAACATGACGAGAAAGAAGAACTGCTCCACAACAACCAATCAGAAAATCAGCAAGGACTGCAGCAGTAGTGCAAGGTGGTTCCAGAACGTTCTCTTGTGCTGGGCAGCTAGTGCACGCGAGTTTCACGTGCTCTCATCAAAGAATTCAAAAATTCTCTCCGGTTGCTATGAGTAGCCAGTGCAGGCTGTCGTAATAAAACGACTCATCCGTGTTCCATTCCCGTGCATGGTACATGCATGGTGCGACGGCACAATGACAGCTGTCGCAAATCACACTGAGTATTACACGTGTTTTTTGGTGATTCCTGGTTAGCTGCTAGCTTTTCCCTACTCGAAGATGTTGCCGCCGCGAAATCTGGGGGTTTGTGTTCGTCCTGGCGAAAACCGTGTTTTGATCCGTTGAGGGAGACGAGAGATACAGTGCGAAGACGTACGATCTGTCCGAGAATCGGCGAAGAAGAAAGCTTCGCAGACGACCCGTAGTGGTTGGGAACAGAATGGAACATATACCAGTCGATGCCTGTCATGGTAGGGATGACTGCTACGAAGTTTCAGCCCCATGCTCCCCAGCGCTTTTTAGCGCCCGACGATAATTACCAAATTTCATCAATTTTCCATGTGGATCAAAGCATAGTCTCCTCAATCTTCTCCAGTCGAGCTGAGTCTGGACGCTACAATGTCGAGACGCGAAAAGAGAACATGCATGAACACACAGGAGCATCACATGCAGCTGCATTCTGCCTTGACGAAGAGAACAACACCAGCACCACGCATTTGGAAGACATTTCGAAGAAGACGAAGAACTGCATATCTGCGTTCAAAAAAGCCTCTGTACTGTGCAGTATGCATGCGTGCATGCGCGAAGCACGGGGTCCGCGGATCAACTTCGTTCAAAAATCATTGTGCCACACGGGTTGTATGATTTGTGTGCGATCATGGCCTTTCTTCTTGACAAACAAAACTGAAGTTTTTCGATCTTCAAATCGCCATAGCGTCCTTGTCAGGACTCCAAATCAGCTGAAACTTTGCAGGAGGAATGAAAATGCCATGCTGAATCGATTGGTGCCATTTTCGAAGGGTTTCCTTGAAAAATAAAGTTTAGCCTGCACTGGCTACTATGAGCCCACGTACTTCCGGTGCATGCTCGGTTACATGTATACAGCATGCTCGGTTACATCATGCATTTTTTAGGTGCCGGAGGGCCGGGCTTTGCCCTAAGGGCCGGGTTCCACTGCGGCTCCACTGCTCCGGTGCTCGTCTTTCGCGGCTTGAAACGTCATCATTATCATAGTTCCCGCGGCTCGAGCTGGAGCAGCGAGTCCGCGGCTCACCGCGAGCTTTTGCTACGATTCTTGACCAAAAACTGCGAGCCGCGGTCGCGGCTCGACCTGTTTCCCGTACTTTGCATTGTTTTGTACGCCAGAATTTTAAAATTCAAATTTTAATTCGTTGCGCAGGCCAGAACACAAGGATTTTTTATTTCGCGTGCGCGCGCAGGTGAAACATCATCAAAAAGTGTGGAGCACGACCGCGGTACCGCGAATGGCGAGTGTCAGTGGAACCGCGCAGCTCCGCTGCATGCAGCCAAGTGCAGCGGAGCAGCGGAGCCGCAGTGGAACCCGGCCCTAAAAAGAACTTTTTTATTTATTTTATTTTCCAACTGCAATGCATACCTGAAATCCTCGAGTGCCCAACTGCTACGTTATGATTTCTACTTAAACCAACAACAAGGTTGTTGTACTTGTACGATGCAGCGTCGATGCACACGTGAAATTCACGTGCACTAGCTGCCCAATACAAGAGAACATTATGAATCATCTTGCGCTATTGTTGCAGTCCTTGCTGATTTGTTGTTCTGGAGCATGTCTTCTTTCTCGTCTTGTTGGGATGTTCTTCAGGAAGTGAGGTTTGTGGCGGCGGCATTCGATTTTCTTGGAGGGCAGGGAATATTCCCATAATGTCTCAGTGCTGGTAGCGTAGCGAAAAGGGATATGGAGGCGCTCCGTGTGTGCTTTCCTGCCACGAGGTTGGATTCGGCTGTTGCATGGCCGTTGGAGAGTTCGAAATGTGAATATTTCCCCCAAGTGATTTTTGGTGGATAACCTTATTTAAGACCACTTGTTGGTGCTTGGGGACATGTTGTAGCAGACTATGGTGGTGGTCTACCCCCAATTTCAGGATGAAGCCTCACTGCTACTGGCCCTTAAAGATGGCCTTCGTGATGGTCGCCATTAGACAGGCTGAATCGATCGATTCGTTCGAGGGACTCAGCAAGTCGCAAGTCGAAAGTGTTTTTATGGATTTTTTATTTTGGTCAAAATCTAAAGAACGGAGGGCTGCTGGACCAAACTGTCATAGTGGGTGAATGAGGTCCACCTAGGGATAAAAGAAGCCAACTTTGAGCGAAATCGGAAATTTGGCCATGCCGGGTGATGCCTGTTTGTTGCAGACATTGACTCTTTTAAAAGTGACTTATGAAAATGCCAAATCTTAAAAAACTGTTCTCCCTTGGTTATCACAAAGTTACTGTTATGGGACAATGATGCAGACCTTTAACCATCATGTTTTGGAAACGAGGTCTGCATCTTTGAAGAGCACTGTGACAGCTTCTCTACGATGTGCTGTGACTGTATCTATTCTGGCAACACATGATGACGGGATGAACAGAGCCTCATATCACTTAACTTATGCCTCTCATTTTTCTGCTGTTGCCTTGCGCAGACGAAAAGGAGCTGCGGACATTCGTCGACTTGGCAACAATCGCTACGGGTGAGAGTGGTGATCTACACTTTGGCATTATCTGTGGACTGCAGACGTCATGTACAGGCTTTTCAAGTCTCATCTACCAGCTTGAAGCGATGAGTGGATTCCCAGAATTCATGGATGCTTGTAAATCTGTTTTCCGGGACCTGGAAGCAAATCCTCTTCTACCAACAACTTTGGTAAGCTGCTTCTTCACTGATAGAGTTCAGTCTCTTTACCTATTTGTCTGAATACGAAATAGTGGTTGCGACTTCGGCGATGATTTGTTAGGCCCCGGCCACACCGAAACAAGCCACTTCGGGCTTGTAATCGCTTGCGCTCAGCTGGCTTGTGTGCTGCTCCCTGTCGAGCGGTCACACCAGACGTCGAGTACAAACCTTGAATGGCTTGTTCATTTTTGCCCGCCAAATTTTGAATATCTCGAAACACACCAACGTTCGCAAGAAATCTTCAACTTCTTCAACTTCTCGCCATGGTTGTCGTCGTTCTCTTGGACGAAATCAATCGTCAGCGTTCGTGATGTTCATGGCGTGCTCCGCCTCTCTCAGATGGGAACGCAGGTGGTGGGCATTCCACCGAAGCGTCGAGGAGCAGAGAGTTTTCTGGGAGAGGAAAGTGCCACTGTGGCACAAAAAAAGCAGAGAGGTACACTTACGGAGATGCAGACGACTTTCTTGATCAAAAGTGTTGTGGAGCGTACCGGGTGCGCCAACAAATATCTGGCGAACAAGAGGGAATACCGGAAATTCACACAGTGAAACCTGTCTAAGGCGACCCCTCAAGGGACAAGAAAAAGTGATCGCCGTGGCCAGGTGGTCTTCTTATCCAGGGTCAGTGGGTCACGTGACCATATCCACATGTGATACATCATTTTGATCAGTGCATCACAGTGCACACACCTATGCTACTCTAGCACGACTCATGTGCCTGGGGTCCTCAGACCTGTCAAGTGTCGTGCATGCACCATGTACATCTACACTTCCTGCACTGATGTGTAGATCTACCATGCCTGGTGCACCATGCAATGCATACATTGACATGTGCTAGCACTGTGAAACGTGGTCACGGGTGGGTGGTTGTCGGTCGCGTTGAGCCAGTGGTCGCCTTATCCGAGCTGTTTTGAATGTGCATGCTTTTAAAATAATATCGACTACACATTTGGTATCTGGGCTGTGTACACATGTGCATACCAGGTCAGCAATATCAACCCAAAAAAAGAAAGCCGACCGATCGACCGGTATTTTTCTGGCGATGTTACCCGAAACACAAGACTTTTTCAATGCGGCCTAGTGTGTGAATGGTGTAAACAAATTGAAGTAAGTGCAAATAGTGGGTGCATGGAAGAAGTTGTTACTGATACTGAAAGTGGTTTTGGTTACCGATACGTGATTAAGTGTTACCAATTTCAGCCATTTCAGCCATTTCAGCCAGCTGCAAGTAATAGTAGAAAACTATATTCGCGCTTGAAGCCCTTACCCTATGCATACAGAAAGAGAATGTGAGAGCACACATTCTTTTTCGGTAACTACTAACATGTTACTTCATCCATGCACCCCTGTTTGCGCTTACATCAATTAGTTTACATCATTCACACATTATGGCATTTGGCTGTCTAGAACACTTTGTAGACTCTACGCCCCGCTTCTCACTTGGCTTTCGCATCTTATCCTTATAGTGCTGAAGAGTTAGTAAAGACATATCTGTGCTTTCGCTCTTGTTATTGGTCTCTCATCTATCTATGATACACTGCTACCCAATGCTGCAGAACGCAAGCTGTTTCGGCCATAAAGGCCTCATCAGTATAGCTACGAGCTTTATGTAAGCCGATTTCCAAGCCACTGTGCAAAGGTGGCAACAAGACAACTCGTTGCTCTAGCGCCAGAGTGCTCAAACTAGGAAAGGTAGTGAGCAATGTGTAATGTGTAATGTGTAATGTGTAATGTGTAATGTGTAATGTGTAATGTGTAATGTGTAATGTGTAATGTGTAATGTGTAATGTGTAATGTGTAATGTGTAATGTGTAATGTGTAATGTGTAATGTGTAATGTGTAATGTGTAATGTGTAATGTGTAATGTGTAATGTGTAATGTGTAATGTGTAATGTGTAATGTGTAATGTGTAATGTGTAATGTGTAATGTGTAATGTGTAATGTGTAATGTGTAATGTGTAATGTGTAATGTGTAATGTGTAATGTGTAATGTGTAATGTGTAATGTGTAATGTGTAATGTGTAATGTGTAATGTGTAATGTGTAATGTGTAATGTGTAATGTGTAATGTGTAATGTGTAATGTGTAATGTGTAATGTGTAATGTGTAATGTGTAATGTGTAATGTGTAATGCAGCAGATAAACTTCCTCCGCGTCATTAAAGTGTGTAATGCAGCAGCACTAGAGCAGCCTACCGAGAGTGCTCAACAAGACAAATGTCGAGGAGCGAGTTACCCAATGCTGTAGACAGCAAGCTGTTTCGGCCATAAAGGCCTCATCAGTACAGCTACTAGCTTTAAGTAAGCTGCGTTGCCAGCCCTGGTGCAAAGGTGGCACCACAGACAATAAGAAGACTCGTTGCTCTAGTGCTAGAGTGCTCAAACTACGAAAGGTAGCGAGCAATGCGTAATGCAGCAGATATACTTCCTCCGCGTCATTAAAATTGTCGCTTCGCACATCACAATGTTTGTGACATGGCTCGTTTTAGTCAGACTGTCGGAATCGCTGTTCGAACATTGGTGCGACCCTTCCTGCGCAAAGTTGACCTGTTACTGAAGCCGTGGTGGTCTCGGACTTTGTCGGAGCTCTCTTCCGCGCCAAGCAAATTCATCGCGCTCCGCACTATTCCGCCCGTGAGTGCATATCGTTTTTCTGGAGTTCGCGCCGTCCCACA